TCGGCTGTCACGGCCTGCCCAGTCACATGGCCAGGAGCGCAACTCCCAGCGACAGCGTTCCTGCCAAATCCACTGTCTTTTCCACCAAATCCACTTTCCGCTGGGGATGGCTCTCTGCTTTTCGGGGTCGGGCTCCTTGCGGGGCTGGGAGTTCCTTCAAGGCAGGAACCGGAGTGTGCTGACCCCAGCCCCCAGTGTACGGCCTGGCGCGCGACCGCCCCGCGGTGCTCGCTGAAGAAATGCTCGTTAACAAAGAAGACAGGAATGAATGAAACCAATTGTTGCCTGGGGAGCGCAGGACAGTGCCTCTCCTGCTTCTTCCTCCTGCCATCGCACTCTCCTCCCAGACACGCACAAGCACACGTGCATGCACGCACTCCCCCCACTCGGACATAGGGACACAGACGGTGCACGGTGGCTCCAGCACTTTTGGAACCAACCCACTACGTGCGTGCCGGCCAGTGGGCAGCCTTTTGGTCCCAGCTGGGCCTCCATTTCATTGCCCACCTCTCTCTGTGCCCCCCAAACGCGGCCCCACGGTTCCACATCTGAGTTCCTCCTTTCTCTTAGGTTAGGGGTCACCCCAGGTCCCGGGAATCTCAGGGTCTGCTTGGGGGGCCCCTGGCTGGCCCCAGGCTGGGAAGCTACTGTGAAGGACAGCCAAAGGTGCCTAGCGGGGATGCCACCAAACACTGCAGCCTTTGGAACCCGCGTGCCAAGTGGTGGGGGAGTGGTGGGAGGGAGGCAGCGAGGTGGTGGGGGTGTCCTGGAGTACTGGGAGGGGCTGGGAGCCTGAGAGGGAGCAGGTGCGCGCAAGTTGGGGTGTAGGAGTGCATGCGGGGCTGTGGGGCTGCCTGCCAGCAAATGGGGAGTGTCTGCCGCTGGGGTGTGGGTTTGTTGGGACTTGGTTCCTGGGGGGCGGCTGCAGTGTCTGGACTGGATCGTGGGCGGGTGTCTGCTAATGGGCAGATGGGGAGTTTGAGACTGTGGGGAACGCGAAGGGAGCCCTGTCAGCGCAGAAATCGCTGGGTTGTGCTAGCAGCGTGTGCGCGCCTGGGCGTGCACTGGGGCGTGGCTGGGGCTGGGATGGGTGCCGGTGTGAGTTGGGGACAGTGGTGAGGGATATGTATTCCAGCGACCTGGTGCGTGGCTTGCCCACACGCGAGTGTGCCGCTGGTGGAAGCGGCAGGGG